TTTTTTTTAAAACAAAGTTTGCAATAAAGTTTCCCTTACTTTTTAGCCCAGTTTTTGATACACCAAATGATTGGATCTGAAGGATGTGTGTAATAATAAAGGTTACTATGGAGGATAGTACACATCTGCAAAAGCTATGTGTTTGTAGGTCTGATGTACTGCCTTTACTTTATCCTCATATTTAATTCATAGTATCATGACATGTATGAAGTAATGAATCTATATAATTCGACATACTCACCAAGCTGCCAATTTTTCACCAATATCTTCAATCTCCATTTTCATCTCTTTATTCTTGTGTTGTGTTTCCCTCAAAGTAGATAACTTAGACTGAGCTTCATACTCCATTTCATTGTCTTCTTTTTTCAATATTGTTGACTACAGGATATAAATTAATACACACTGTCTATATCATATAGGCAACTATGATATTCACAGTTTTCAATTGTTTTAGCTGCAGCAATTTTTTGTATTTGATCCTCACTATGTAATACTCCAGTATTATTATTATTATTTGACAGGGTTAACAAAGAACAATCACGCACAATTCTGAATCCACATCTTTTTTTCTGTAACTTTGCCAGTATTGATCATTTTGTAGTGATGCACATGATCATTATCGATACTGGCTTGTGATATTGGAGTCAGCAAAATGACATATCGTTTGCTTTATAACTGTCTCAAGCAATTCCATTCTCTATGTGAATATTAATATTCACAAATCACCATCCAGATTCAAATTTACTTTGTACTTTGCCTGTAATTTGTGAATAGTTTAAGATTTATTTTGAGTCAATAATATAGCAAATCAAATTATATAGAAGTTGACAGATATCCCCCACATTAAATTTGTGTATTCTACAAGAGTATGTTCCAAAGTGTTTGAACTCTTCATCACTGTTACAGGTCTTGGCACTACAGTTTTCATGTCCACTTTCCCATGACCAGTTTGGTGATTTTTATGCTGATTCATTCATGGTTAATACCAGAGAAAACATGTGGAACTGTTCAAAGCAGTATTGATGATTTTTGGTCGAAAGAATATTGACACTACTTCTCCCAATACAATGTGTTTTTATTACCCATAAATATTCACTAATTATCACAATTATTTGTCTGACATTAAACATTATAGTTTTTTTCTCTCATTCTATTCCATTCAGTTATGGAGTGAGATTGTTGAACTCACCCTACTGTCTTTATCTGATGCCATCTTAGTATTCTCATCTTTTAACTTCCTATGTTCAAACTCAGCTTCTACTATTTTTTCTTTCACTTGCTTCACTTTCTTGCCTTGCATTTTCTCAGCAGCCCGTGCATTCTCATTTTTGGTTTCTTCAAACAAAGCAAAATATCAAAATTAGTGGATGAGAAATAGTCCATTGCACATACAGAATCACTTCATTTCATCAGAAGATATTGTGCCATACCTAGTACAATTTGCTCTTGTACATTGTCTTGTAACTTTCGTCTTGAATCATCACATTGTTGTGTATAGGATGTAAATGTCTTCCTTGCTTCATCTAACTCAGTACTGTAAAACAAATCAAACACGCACAACTTCACTTATGACTCGAAAACTTGTTATTGACAACAATAGTTGAACCCAATTAAAACCCTTGATTAACTGTCACATAGGTGGGTATGTAAGTTTACTGCATTTACAACGTTCACCGGAATGTCTAGGAAAGGGTCTGGGAATATTGCCTTGGTATTTGCCTACAAAATGTGGGAGTTAGGTATATGTAAATATCTTGCGTCTGCTGTGAATGGCCAAAAAAAGTAATTATTTTGCGTGAAATATGGAGTGGACAAACTAATGGAATACTTATGGTATACATGTATGTGTGTGAAGTCCGACTGTAAAAGACCATTTTCCCATTCACTATGAGATCCTGTATTATGTGAAATCAAATACAAGAACAGAACATAGCTTTGTAATGACATTAAAGCATTGCATAGAATTCAAAAAACACAAAAATATTTGGGAGGTATTTTCATGCTTAATAATGTGCTATACACATTTGATGATGGTAAATTTTGATCATTAATTGTTGATTTTTAATCTCAATGCAATATTCCCGTCTCAATGCTCAGTATTCCAACATTGAACTATAAAAAAAGTGAAAATCATAATCTAACTTTTTTTTCAAAAATGTTTGTGGCAGACGTTCACTCTGCGCCATTCATGTAAGACACAATCACCTATCCGTCTTAAGATACGGGTAAAACACACATACATACACAATGGTGAAACTATAAGTGCTTGTCTTCAAACCTCATCCAACAGAAACAAAATACTACACTTGTTTATGAATAATGTGATGCTATAGTGATACTCATAAGATACCCTTTTTATACCTTATTTCATGCAATGCTTGTCGCACAGTATCAAGTTCTTTCTTGATGTGTGCTCGTTCCATTTCAGCCTTTCCATGAGCCTCTTCTGATTTAGACTCAGTTTGTTTTAATTTCTCCACTGTTTTTGCGAGTTCATCATTAGTCTGTATTCAAATAAAAAGTGTATAAGCAAGGACAGTAAGGACTACATTACTTAGATTCCCTAGGTGTATTGAGAGTAGTGCTGTCACTTCATATCTCTGGGTGTACAGAACTCTGCCATTATCGTACATGGTTTATCTTTAAAGTTGCAATTTAATGTTGTTGGTAGCAGCTGACATTAATTATTAAACATGGTGTTTTTTTTGTTGTTTTTTTTAAAGTCATTTCCTGTTTGGGACTACAGGGACACAGGGCTGTGTGGCCATCTCCCTATCAAATGTCAATTTTTATGCGCTATCCTGTCGTCAACCAGGCTTGGTTGAACACAAGCACCTGCGGACCTTAACCAAGGTTCCCCCCGTAAGTGAATGAATCTCGGCCAGTAGAATTGGCCTTCCCATTGAGTCTGTGGCACACTCACCCAGGGTAGGGGTCGACTCTTTGATGTTCAGCCGAAGGTAGGATTTGAACTTGGGTCTACCGATCATGAGCCTGATGCGACAACCACTATGCTACCAGTGATAGGTTAAACATGGTGTTGACATCAACCAGAACTGTAATGCTGTGTAATAATCAGCCAAGAAAATTTGCTCATGAAAAAATGAGCCACATTGCTCTCCTTTGAGTATTTTGAACCTTTTTCCTCTTACAATGGGTAGTTAATGTGCTATCCTGACATCAACTCAATCAATGCAAGCATCCAGAGACCTCAATTAAAGTATCCCCAATGTCACTTTAGCAAAAGAATAGTGGCTTTGATCTCCAGATTAGGTAAGGCTATGTGTCTATGTACCTTTTTTCAGTGCTCAGCCCTTAGTACCGTAGGATTTCCACTCTGGGCCATGGGGTAACCCTGTTACAGTGCCCAACCTCAAGTAGCATTTCCACTCTGGACCATGCGGCAACCCTTTTTCAGTGCCCAACCATGAGTAGGTTTTGAACCTTGGACCATGGGTCAACCAGAACACTACTGTCATTGACTACTGTCAGATTAATGGAATGGTGACAGTAAATTTGACAGTAAAATAAAGCTGTATGAACACAGTAAATTTGGTACGTACTATATGGCATTCCATCTTACCTGCATTTGAGCATCCTGAATTTTATGCATAGCTTCCAATTCAAGTTCTAATTTTTCTTCAACCAATGGTCTGCAATACAATATGATAAGTATATAATATGACAAAGTATATGTCTGATTTCATGCAGTTTTCAAAGGATGATCTGGTAGCTGGTTGTTTTTACGCCTGTAAATGCCTTAATCATTCACTAGATCCTCTATTAAAATTAAATCCATAACATTGGCAATTTCTTGAAGTTAAAACCCAGGGAATAAGCTGAAAATATCAAAATAGTTATAATTAAATGCCACTGAAAATAAATTATTTTACAGTGTTTTAGGAAATAGACTACTAAGATGGTAGTTTTTGTTTTGTTCTGTTCTATTTGCACGAATAAAAAAAAAGAGCACAGTGAAACTACTTTCAAGAACAACCTCAATGAAACTACTTGATTATATTTGTGATCACAGGAATTCTATCATACTCTCCTCCTTCACTCTTTTTTTTCTATTTTTTATGTTTTCTTACTTTGCTATTATTTCAATCACTTATATATTTATTGCTGTAAACCAATAGAAAATTTGTATTTCTAAGGATGCAATAAAGTTATTATTATTATTATTATTATTATTATTATTATTATTAGACAAAAACAACACTACTGTACACATGGAATCCTAGCAATGAAACCACCCAGCCCCTAGGTTGGCCATACATTTATGACAAAACAAAAAGAAAATTGCTGTATTTTCTCCATTAGAGGAGGTGTTTTTATGGTCAAAATAAGTCATATTCTAATGATCCAGTATATAACAAATAAAGCAAATACATTATGTGTTATTGCTGGATATAACAACACATAATTTTGAACAAAAACTGGAAAGGATACTTACGAATGTGTTTTAACAAAGTTGATGTCTTCAAGAAGTCTAGAATTGAGAACTTCAGCAATGTCAACTTTGCTCCTAATTCTAGCTTCCTGTCGACCTCTGTATGCAACATGCCATTGTAACTCACTGATGTCCAATGCACATGCTTCATGCTCTGAAAGGAATAGTGGACATTAAGTCATTGGTCTTGTGTTATCTCAGATGGCATTTCCAGCCAAAACTCATCATAATGACACAAAGCTATTAACAAGATTACACATGATTGGCCACCAAACCATAACACCTAACAATCTGACCAATCAGAGAGCAGGTTGTTTGTCAAAAGTTTTTTTAACATATCAAATTCTGCCTTTATATACACTTAACTGCAATGATTGAATGTTCAAACTGTTCACTTACCATGTTGTACAGCTAAAGGAAGTTCATACATTCTCTTTTCAGCCAATTTATCAATTCTAGCTCGCAGCATATCACTTCTTTTCTTTTCTTCTTCCAACCTGTCAGCAGTATCTCTTCTATCAGTCTCCAGTCGCCCTAACAATGTAACCGTCTCATCAATGACTTCTTCAGCTCCAAGTGTTGGAATCTCTGCCTCTATCTCCATTTCCAACCCTGTTAACAAAATAAATAAGAACATGCACAACTATTACAATAATAAGAATTCAGGATGGATACAAACTAGACTGGTTCTTAAGTGTTTATCACACTGGTGATATACATGTATGCTCCATCATATACATGTACCGGTATATTAAATAAATGCTGGTATATATATTGATACCTTAATACTACATGTACTGTATTAATCTTAAACTCACTTATAAAATAATATAGTTGAGCAAAATTTTGGTTGGAAAGTTACAGCAAAGCTTTGGTGTCAATACAGAACATATGCAATTATTATTGTTTTATAAAAAGCATCTAGGAAATGAAAATTCCAAACGGTCAGTGAAGGAGCAATGGCATTAGAGGTTAGGAGATTTCACTTACATACATGTAGGCTTACATTAGTTATATGCACAGTCATGGCTCCAATGTTAACCATGTCTGCACATTTCACCAAGGTACATATGTGCCAAATTTGATCAGAATCTGAGAAGTTTTTGAGATTTTGCATACACAGGCTGCAATGAGATTGTTAATATGCAAATTAGCTGGCATGGCCCTAAAACTATTCTTCTCTGCACATTACCCACAAGATACCTATGCACAGACATGGCCCCAAAACAAATCATATCTGCACATTATCTCAAGGTATCTATCTACCAAATATCTATGTTTTATTTCAGCCACACTTGATACTTTATAGTTATTAATAAGATTTCAAAGTTTGAAATGATATTCAAGTTCAATGATGATTGTTTAAGAATCGCACGAGTTACAATTATTTTAGTCACAAAAAACAAAACTCACAATAGCAACAACAACAAACATTTTCCCCAATATCTACCGCTTAACTAATGATATGTGCAAAATAAAAATTCTAATTTATCCCAAAAATGAATAGTGGATTGTGTCAATGAGATTCATGCAGAACTTAATCAGCATTATCATTAACTCTATGGTTTGTACAGTGTTTATACATTGATGTAATCAAGAAAACATGTGAGGTTATCATAACGTGTACCTGGAGGCATGATGGCACCAATACCCTGTATAGATAAATCAGTTACATTTTCACTCTGCCTGCTTTCCAAAGTAGACTCACTTGCTTCTACACTTGCTGCTGATGTTGGTGCAAATCTAATATGTCTACGGTCAGAACCTATACAATAAATAATACCAAGTCATTGTTAATAACACAGTAAAATTAGGGGAAAAGTTATTCATGCCTAAAAAAAAGCAAGATGATTGCAAGTCTGTCTTTTACCTGATCACATAATAAATTGTTACGGAAACGTATTTCTACATACATATATACAATCAAATTGGATATGCAAATTACTGGTCATGTGACCAGGTAAATTGTTTCTGAATGAATTTGTTGTTCGTGGCCAGTAATTGAGAGTAAATAATAAACTAATCTAGTATCAACAAAAATCAGATTTATTAAAAGACTTCTATATTTGCATTCTAATTTATGGAAACAACTTTATATTTTTATTTGCTATTTCTCATATTTTTGCAATTTTTGTATCCAAACTGAAGTAAAGACATGTCTCCAGTATCAGTTTATGGTGTTACCCAATGACACTTTCTCTAACAATTAATGGCGGAAAATTTAAGACATTTTACAAATTAATGAGAATGAAGCACAAGCCAAACATGAATGTGTACCAAATGACTAACATACAATGTAGGCTTAACAATAGACAACTTGGATTGTCAGTTAAATTGTACTCACACACATAGTTGTAATTTCTTGTACAAGCTAAAATTATCTTAGGAGGAAATCTTGTCATTCAAGAATTTATTTGCAACCAGATTCACTCATGTTCTATGTACATTTTTTTTTCATATTTAATAATTTTTTCTTATTTTATTGTGTTCTTTTTACTCTGAACATTTAATAACCATTGGAAGATATTTCTACAAATAATCATAGGTATGTATGATTATGTATGTGACAAAAATATGATGAATAATTAATAACAAAATAATACATATTCAAAAAACAAGATAGCTTCCAGTCAGCCATTTTGATCTGATCACGAAATTAATGATCATATATCTCAACATGTGTATGTACTAAATTTTAAAGAAAACCGACAAAGTACATTTTCCAAAAAAACAAAATGACTGCCAGTTGGCCATCATTGATCTGATTATGAAATTAACTGACATAGACATGCATTCCAACATGTATAATGTATGTGCCAAATATGAATAAAAATGGTCCCGAAGCCTTGGAGATATAGTAGCATAGTCAAAAAGCACTATAATCGCTGGTTGGCCATCTTCGATCTCATTGTTAAACAAAATGTCATGAACATGTATAACATGAATGTCATGAACATCCTAACATGTATAATGTACATGTATATACCAAATTTGAACAAAAACAAAGCGTTTATTTTGCGTTTCAAAAAAAGTTTAAAGATACAAAACTGGTGGTGAGCTATTATTTTATAGCATTGTGGTTAAAGGAGGGGCTTCTGTAAGCCCAATAAAGTTTTCCAGCAGAGGATAAATTTAAACTCCTGAAAAGTTATACATGTTAATATGATATGTATTGATCACACAGACATACTGGTGACAGGGAATATATACCTCTAGTATCAGTCACAGTACGTTCTCTTGCCGACGTAGCTGAATCTCTATTACTGCAGCAAACACTTGTAGCACAACTACTATTGGTCTTCCGACTCATTATTTCAAACTCAACATCTCTGGCCCATTCCTCAAGTCGATCCTGGAGCTTCTGTATGTGTGATATAGCATGATCGATACTTGTAGAAACAGGTTTCTTAAAACTAAGAGCTCGTCGGCGAAAGATTTGGTCTTGCAGCCTTGGCCATCCTTGCGGTAAGGGCAAAAGTTGATCTGTAAAAGATTACGAAGTAATGTTTAGTGTTAAAATTAATGTTAGCAGTAAAATTACACACTGGTCACAGCAATAAATTACCAAGTATTATGTAATAACATGACTTTGTATTAATTACCATGTTGTACATGTATATGTTAAAATCTGCATTAACATTGATAATAACAATCAACACAAGTATTGAGATTTGATTCAGTAATGATACCTTGTTCCTCATCAGAAAGTCTGTCTACTTCAGAAACATCAGTGAATCCTTTTGTATCAGATCTTGAGACTACAGAGGCTGATAAAAAATAGTACATTCAATGTTGAGAATAACTTTCATGTCAATAAGAGTATGGTAAGATACTGTAAAATACTTAATTTTAAATAATTAATTTTTGGTGAACCAACATTTTGTGGAACGGATTCTTTTATCGAAAATACATTCCCTCTAAATTGATAGCATGAACATCCTGAGATCTGATTGGTGGATAGCATGGGTATCCTGTGATCAGATTGGTGAATAGCATGGGCATCCTGTGATCAGATTGGTGAATAGCATTGGCATCCTGTGATCTGATTGGTGAACAGCATTGGCATCCTGTGATCTGATTGGTGGATAGCATAGTATCCTATGATCTGATTGGTGGATAGCATAAGCATCCTGTGATCTGATTGGTGAATAGCACAACTGTTGTTATCAGTGATGATTTGCATCACATTATTCAATCGGTTGATACATTTTGGCTAGGCTGCGCAACAACGAAATAACACAGATGCCGACACTGTAACTGAGACAGTTACAATTTGTCAATGCAACTTTGAACTTGGGGCTTATTCTAGGCAGCAGAGAAAATGAGAACTGTGAAACTGCCCTGACGAACTCTTGGTTATACTGTTTTCATTTGACAAAACTAAAAAGCAGTCCCACACTTGTTTACCGCAGTTCGCGAGCAGTCGGCAAAATAATGATTTAAAATTAAATTTTTCTATAAGGCATGCGGTAAACCCTTACATTGTAAATAAAGAAGTAATATGGGCATCGATCAACCATTGGGATTAACGCTTTTCGACCAACCAACCCTGCAATGGCAATCGTGACACTGCAACACATTCACAGAGTTCAATAATCAACATTCGGCGAGTTGCACAATCGCAACACAGAGTTAGTTTTTACATACCTCCCATGATGTAAAATACTTTATTTTATCTGGAATTAATTTTTGATGAAAAGACATTTTGGCTGAAGTTTATTTTCACTGATTTTTGATGAGTTGAATGTAAAATATAGGAAAAAGGGTCTTTTCAGTGGATTTTATTTTCACTGATTCATCCAGTCAGCAAAAATAGCAAAAATACATTCCAAGTAAAAATATAATATTTTACAGTAATCACAGAAACTTACTTCGTTTACTTTGAGATGCTGTAGTTGATGTTTTACCAAAAGCAGAAAACCTTTCAACATCTGAGGAAGAGCCAGTTTTAGATGTGGATGTAGCTAACTCATTGCTAACAGCAGTGAGTCTCTCTCTGGTGGGCAAGTCACTACGTACTGAACTATTCGATATAGTCGGCATTATCAATGGTTATACGTGTCAAATCCAACTGTCAAATCCTGTCAAAATAAAAGATTGCTTTAGTAATAGTCCTTTTTGAAATAATTATTACCAGTAATGTCTTGGGTGAGCAATACAAGAGATCAATATATAATACAGTACACTAAATATACTTGCAGATATATGTTTTATTTTACATTATTATTAATCATGGCTATCATTTTTTCTTCATTCGTGGTGTTTGACAGTGATATTTTTGACTCAGTGCTGGTTTCTATCATTTTCATATGATTCACCAAGTTCTAATAGACATGTCAAATAGTTTCAGGAGCATTTTTATTGGGATGTTATTTTCTGAGTATACCGGTAATAGTCATTTCATTTTGAATAGTGCTTTTGTTGCTCTGTGTCCAAAATCTTTCTGTGCTTTGCTGAGTTTACCTGAAGAGTTCATTTTTAGTCCTAGAAGGTATATGATGAGACATTTTCTATTTTTTTGATAACATTTTCCCAGATTTGTTCAAAATTATTATTTTTGACTTAGATGCATAGACATTCATCTTCCACTGTTGAATGAAATGAAATTTACATCATGCATTGTGTGTAATCAAGTCCATTGAAATGTGTACCCGGTAATGAAAAGATCTATTTTTCCCGATTTCTACGCAGGTTTGTTTTTTTGTACCCTAATTATTTCATACTTGGCACTTTTAACAGACTATTATTCGGTGACAAAGCATTTAAAATCAAAGAAAGCTTAGAAAGAACTCCTGTGTGCTGAGAGTATTGAAGACACATTAAAAATTAATTAAAAATTACTTGTACATGAGATATTGATGGAAAAGCTGAAAACTAATTATGTAAAACAGATAACTAATATGAACAGAACAGAACAAAAAAATTAAGAATTATGCTGATTAGAGAATTAATATGAACAAATTTTAACCCAAAATCAAAGAAAGCTTAGAAAGAACTCCCATGTGCTGAGAGTATTGGAGACACATTAAATATAATTCGAAATTACTTAGCTGAAAACTAATTATGCAAATCAGAAAAGTAATATGAACAGATTTGAGTGTAAAACTAATGAGGTCTGCGCAATGTAACAGAAAATCTATGTTTCCAAGTTTAATTGAAATGTGATTAGAACCAAAAAATTATGAATTATTATGCTTATTAGGGAATTAATATGAACAGATTTTTACCCCAAACTAATTAGGTTTGTACATTGTCCTAGAGCATCTTTGTACTAAGTTTCATTGAAATGGAATAATTAGTACTTTAGATATCAGTGTGAAAGCTTAAAATTGGTTAATTATGCAAATTAGGTAATTAATATGTACAGGTTTTAACCCACAATTATCCAGGTCTGTCTATTGTCCTACAGCATCCATGTACATTCATTGATATGTGATGTTTAGTACCAGAGATATCAGTGTGAAAGTTGGTTAATTATGCAAATTAGGTGATTAATATGCACAAATATTTACCAGAAACTCATTGGGTCTGCATAATTCTAGATTCATTGAAATGTGATGATTAGTACTTTAGATATCAGTAGAAAAGCTGAAAATTAATTATGCAAATTATTTATTATTATGCACAATTATTTGCCCTAAAACTAATCAGGTCTTTGCATAGTCCTAAAGGATCTATGTACCAAGTTTCATTGAAATGCGAATGATTAGTACTTGAGATACCCTGGAAAAGCTGAAAATTAACTAATTATGCAAATTAGGTGATTAATATGCACAAATATTTATCAGAAACAATCAATCTCTGCAT